TGTAGGGCCATCTTACAAGTGATACAAATTTCCATCGCCTTCTAAGCCCCAAAACTCCCTAATGAAAATAATAGTAATAGTAATAATAATACTAATACTCATTAGGTGCTTAGTATGTTTCATACGCACAGGCTATTCTACGTTTTTTACATGGATTGTCCCTTCTAGCTTTCACACCTACCTATGTGGCAGCTTTGTTAATGTTCCCATCTTATAGATGAGGAAATCAAGCCCAGAGCAGTGAAGTCACGTGCTCAGGGTCATGTGGTTGGCAAGTGGTATATTACTGAGACTGAGACCCAGGCAGTTTGTCTCCAGGGCCCACGCTCCTGACCTCGACACCAGGCGCTGACCACAATGCCTGTCCCGCCCTCACTCCCCTGGCCGCCAAGCTAAGTTGACCTTACTCTTGTCCAGAAGGTCTCCTCGTCTGGTGGTCATGTTCAGTGAGAAGGTGGTACTCCCCAAAGGGCTAGCTGTGGCCATCTCGACCTGCTGAGAAGGAAGATGAAATATCACTTAAAACCAGAGTAACCTTTATAAGCCCTGTGTGATGCCTCTTTCGGTCTTCATCTGGGTGACAGGAGAAAATATTTAAGCATGCAGTTTCTCTTAGCAGCAATTAAAGATACGGCCTTTTACTATACAGTATGGGGAATCAAAAATAAGGTCTGACATTTGTAAAGAACTTCATTTTTCAAAGCAGTTTCGATTCATTCAACAATATTTATTCAACTCCTCCTAACTATGTTTCACACAGAATGTCTAAATTGATCTTCTGGAAACTGTGAGGGAGGTTATTGTTGCCATTTGACTGATGAAACTGAAGCCCCCAGTGCCAGGTGGAGCCCCAAGTTTACCTAGAAGAACTGAACCCTGGGCGTCTACTTCCCATGCTAGTGGGACTTTGGCCACCCCACTACTGTGCTTGAAATTGTGTTCCTGCTTTCAAAAGCTTTACAATCTAAGGAGGGAAGAATAAAAGCAAATGAAAAAATTATGGTTACTTGATTATTAAGCAGTCAGTGACATGAGACATTGGGTTGTGAAGAATGATTTCAAGGAGATCAATTTGAATGGGCCTTGAAGGATGAGTGTGGTCTGGGGATGGGGGCGGAGGAGAGAGAACACAGGTGTGGTTGCGCAAAACCCTCAGTGGGAAGAGAGCATCTCCCATGCACAAGGCTGCCTTCACAAATGCCATCTGTCAGCTCACTTAATGCTCTCAATCATCACATTTTGCTGCTGAGAAACTGAGGCTCAGAGTGGTTGAGTGAATCGACCAAAGTCACACAGCTACGAAGACATGGAGCTTGGCCCAAAGGCAAACTCCTTGCCTCCGGAAGCTCACACTCTGGTGAGAGTGAGAGAGCCAGTAGGTTTGACCATAGCATTCTTGGGCTCGAAAAACAATCATCTCCCCGGTACCCACACTTCTATATCTGGCAGTGAAAGGCCTTCACTGGCTGTTTCCACCCTCCATTTCAGCCTCCTGGTTCCTCCTACCAACCTCTGCCAAATTGCTGGGACAACGGGCCACTCCATCCTCCCCCCCCCCGTTCCTGGTCTTTGCTGTCTCTGGGCTGCGGCCCCAGGCTTTGGCCTCCCAGGTCCCCCAACTCTGCCAGCTCATGATGGAAACAGGGGTCAGCACCCCTCCAAGTGGGGTCAGGTCATCTTCAGCCAGGCTGGGGGCTCTGGTGGGTATGACCTGTTCCCCTGCCAACCCTCCCAACAAGGGCCTCAGCCTCAGAATGACCCTGTGTGGCCAGGCCCTGTTGATCCACAGGATAGGCTCTGCCTTTACTTTCTCTGCCCTCCTTTAAGCCTTGAGATCCTGCCTAAACTACTGCTCCACCTCCAGCTTTGTCTGTCCCCTCCTCCCAAAAACCCAATCCTCAGGACTTTCACAACTCAGGCTTCCTGAAGACGTGTCTGTGACTCTGATGTCCTCACGCATCTGTGACTCTGATGTCCCCACGCCGGCCAACCTTTCAACCTTTCAGCCTGGCTAGGCTTCCTGTCTCCCGACTACCTTAAACAGATCTGGGTTGCTGGCCATGCTCCATTGCCCGCTCCCCCTCCAAAAGGAACAGAACCTTCCAGACTCAGCCCAGTCACCTTCAGGAAGACTTCCCGCCAGATAGAATTAGCGATGCTACCCTCCATTCTCCCATAGCAGTGCCCTGCAAAGAAGCACCACCACACCTTGTGTCTCAGTTGCTGTGTCTGGCAGTCAACTTTCCACGTTCATTGTCAGGTCCTTGAGGTAGAGACTGTTTCCGGTTCTTTTCACTCCTGTCTGGCTCTCCTCACCTTTGCCAGTGGAAGGACTTGAGTGAGTGACTGAACCTCTCCCAGCTGGGGTTGCTGTTTGTAAAATGAGGTAGCTTTTCCCAAGGGAAATGAGGGATCAAGGTTAAGTATGGAAAGCGCTTTTAAGTGCTCAGTAAATGGTAGATAGCCCCCAGGATTTTAGTGGGTATTAGTGAATACTTGCTGAACTAATTAGAGACAGGAGCTCGAAACAGGAAAAAAAGAATTCTTTCTATAAAAATAGGTATGGACCAGGCTTCCCTGGTGGCTCAGTGGTTAAGAATCCACCTGCCAATGCAGGGGACATGGGTTCGAGCCCTGGTCTGGGAAGATCCCACATGCCGTGGAGAAACTAAGCCCGTGTACCACAACTACTGAGCCCACGCGCCACAACTACTGAAGCCTGTGTGCCTAGAGCCCGCGCTCCGCAACAAGAGAAGACACTGCAATGAGAAGCCTGCACACCGCAACAAAGAGTAGCTCCCGCTAGCCACAACTAGAGAAAAGCCCGCATGCAGCAATGAAGACCCAATGCGGCCAAAAATAAATAAATAAACTTATATTAAAAAAAATAGGTATGGACCAATTTGCGAACATGGAATAAAATTCTTCCCCAGCCCCCGACCCCCACTCCTACTCCTAAGGAGAGGTGGCTGAACCCCTCCTTCAACACACACATATACACACTCCCCATCTCAGCACATAAAGGGTTTTAATATGCATTTGCCCAGACGCTCTGCTTCTATCCCCACCAATATCAAGCTGAGAACACTCACCAGTAACGCTTTCTCACAATTCCTTTTAAACACAAAAAAGAGAGAAAAACAAAAATAAAAACAAAAACAGAAAGAAGAGGCAAATAGGTGGCCATTGGTCAAAGGTCATTTAAGGAGAGAGACATGGCATAATCACTAGATAAACTAAACCCTACCATGGACACATCCCCTGTTAAACCAACATGCACAAAGATGACGGAAGCCACCACCCGAGTGTCTGCCGCATGCCAAGACCTTGTGCCAGATATTTTTATCCATCCTCTGATTTAATTAGCAAATGCCATGTAAAGTAGGTTTTCCTCTCCCCTTGTTTCAAATGAGGACCCTGAGACTTTTCATGCTCATACGGCCTGGAGGCTGCAGGCTTGGCGTATGAACTTGGCTCTGCAAACTTCAAAGACTGTATCATTCCCTCTACACCACCTGCCCCTGGTACACGTCGGTGGGGAGGGGGGGAATGAACAGTCACTACAGGAACCCTCACACATGCACTCACAGACACATACTGACCAGTAATGTAGCCGCCTAAGGCCACCAGGACACAGGCCCCTCTGCAGGTCCCTTCAGGGTGACCTCCTGGGTGCCGAGTTCCAGGTGTGACTCCTTTTCAGATGGGCCCAGCTACTCTTCTTTCTGAGAGAACAGTGAGTAATCCCAGAGCATATCTTGCCCCATCTAAGGACCGAGGGCTCTAAATTACGTCTCTGTTCCTGCCACATCAGAGAAGGTGGGAGGGAGGGTGGTGGAGCGTTGATGGCCAAGGATGTGGGTGTTTTCACGTGTGGGGCCTCTGCAATTCTTGTTAACCAAGTGAGATCCAGCAGGGGATTTCAGTATCAAATGTGCCCATGACCGGGATCCATGGCCACAGAAAATGGGGGAGCATACAGGGAGGGTGAAGCTGGTTTTTACTGACAGAGGTTAATTTAATAATTAATAATAATAATATACTATGTGCCCCAGGCACTGCACTCAGTGATTTATATGGGAGGTCTCATTTAATCCTCATACCTTTCTGGTTAGGAGGGTGCAGTCACTGTGCCCACTCTACAGATGAGGAAACTGAGACTCAGATCAGAGAAGAAATCAATCTAAGCTCACAAGGCTAATATGTAGCCATGCTAGGATTCAAGCTAGGGTCTGTCTGATTTCACAGGCCCTTCTCCATAAACTCTCACTGGACTGCCTCCCAGTGAATCTGGGGACCAAATCAATGTAGGGCTTTGATGAGAAAAACCTCACAGGCTGTGGAAGAGAGAGCCAGAGCCCTTGATCTAACCCTGACCCAGACTGGTCCTACCTGACTGGTCCCCGACCTTGCCTATACTCTGAACCTCTGTCTCCAGCAGAGCCTTAATCTCATTTGCAGAATTTATAAGAAACTTTTTCCTTGGGTTGTTTACAAATGGCCCCGTGTGGGAGGTCAGTTTGGGAAGCGATGGAGGGTCATGAACCTCACTGAACCACCCATCTCTGACTGTTCCTTGGTCAAGTGTAAGGGCCATAACTGGAGGATAAATGTTGCCAGACCCCACCTGTCCAAAATATTTCCCCCTTCTTCTCTGCCCCTGTGGTACCCTCCTTCCCTCGGGCCTAGCCTAAAAGTTCCTCCCTGGATAAGACAACCCAGATGCTATCAACCCTGGCAGACCCCTACCCAAACGTCCAACTATAGCTCAGAATAGGTAAGCCATGAATGCCTGAGACCCACCAAAACATTGGGATCGATTTCTCCCATTCACCTGAGAGATGGGAGATTCAGCATGACTTGGTTTCTCCCACAGACAAGAACCTCACTACTCCCAAGCAGTCCCTTGATAATTATGTTTTCATTATCAGAAAATTAACTTTCATTTTGGAACCAAAAGCTCTCTCCTTGTGATTTTAACCCATTGGTCCTAATTCTCTTCCCACAAAGGTAATCTGCTACTTTTTACACATGACAATGATCATGCTTAAAAGCCCTTCTATGTATGAAAAGTTAAGTTCTATGAATGGTACAGTTACGGTAGCTGAAATCAGCACATCAATTTTACCTCCCACCAGTAGGTGGCAATAGCAGTTGGCTTTAGTATGTCCTTTTGGACTTAACCAACAAATCGTTGGCAAATGTCCCGTGAACCCAACCTGTTTCTAAGTAGAGGAGTTTTCTGCCCTTGAAAACAGCAACTGTATGTTCTCTGATGATTTTCTTCTCCGGGATAAATATTCTCAGCTCCTTCAAACAATCTTTAGGGTGATAGTCTGCCTCATGGATGGGTTCCTTGTTTCTCTGTATGTCAATGTCTTCCTTAAATATAACACCCCAAACTGGATACATGACTCCAGAGGGGGCCTGAACTCTCCAGAATGACATTTTTCTTGACAATTATCAGACCTGAGCCTGAATTCTACTAT